TTGAAGCGTGGAATTGAAGCGTGGAATTGAAGCGTGGAATTGAAGCGTGGAATTGAAGCGTGGAATTGAAGCGTGGAATTGAAGCGTGGAATTGAAGCGTGGAATTGAAGCGTGGAATTGAAGCGTGGAATTGAAGCGTGGAATTGAAGCGTGGAATTGAAGCGTGAATTGAAGCGTGGAATTGAAGCGTGGAATTGAAGCGTGGAATTGAAGCGTGGAATTGAAGCGTGGAATTGAAGCGTGGAATTGAAGCGTGGAATTGAAGCGTGGAATTGAAGCGTGGAATTGAAGCGTGGAATTGAAGCGTGGAATTGAAGCGTGGAATTGAAGCGTGGAATTGAAGCGTGGAATTGAAGCGTGGAATTGAAGCGTGGAATTGAAGCGTGGAATTGAAGCGTGGAATTGAAGCGTGGAATTGAAGCGTGGAATTGAAGCGTGGAATTGAAGCGTGGAATTTGAAGCGTGGAATTGAAGCGTGGGAATTGAAGCGTGGAATTGAAGCGTGGAATTGAAGCGTGAATTGAAGCGTGGAATTGAAGCGTGGATTGAAGCGTGGAATTGAAGCGTGGAATTGAAGCGTGGGAATTGAAGCGTGGAATTGAAGCGTGGAATTGAAGCGTGGAATTGAAGCGTGGAATTGAAGCGTGGAATTGAAGCGTGGAATTGAAGCGTGGAATTGAAGCGTGGAATTGAAGCGTGGAATTGAAGCGTGGAATTGAAGCGTGGAATTGAAGCGTGGAATTGAAGCGTGGAATTGAAGCGTGGAATTGAAGCGTGGAATTGAAGCGTGGAATTGAAGCGTGGAATTGAAGCGTGGAATTGAAGCGTGGAATTGAAGCGTGGAATTGAAGCGTGGAATTGAAGCGTGGAATTGAAGCGTGGAATTGAAGCGTGGAATTGAAGCGTGGAATTGAAGCGTGGAATTGAAGCGTGGAATTGAAGCGTGGATTGAAGCTGGAATTGAAGCTTGGAATTGAAGCGTGAATTGAAGCGTGGAATTGAAGCGTGAATTGAAGCGTGGAATTGAAGCGTGGAATTGAGCGTGGAATTGAAGCGTGGAATTGAAGGCGTGGAATTGAAGCGTGGAATGTGTGAGCGTGGAATTGAAGCGTGGAATTGAGCTTGGAATTGAAGCGTGAATTGAAGCGTGGAATTGAAGCGTGGAATTGAAGAGTGGATTGAAAGCGTGGAATTGACGTGGCATTGAAGCGTGGAAAGTTGAAGCGTGGATTGAAGCGTGGAATTGAAGCGTGAATGGAAGCGTGGAATTGAGCGTGGAAGTTGAAGCGTGGAATTGAAAGCGTGGAATTGAGCGTGGAACTTGAGCGTGGAATTGAAGCGGGAATTGAAGCGTGGAATTGAGCGTTGATTGAAGCGTGGAATTGGAAGCGTGGAATGAAGCGTGGAATTGAAGCGTGGAATTGAAGCGTGGAATTGAAGCGTGGAATTGAAGCGTGGAATTAAGCGGGTGGAATTGAAGCGTGGAATTGAAGCGTGGAATTGAAGCGTGGAATTGAAGCGTGGAATTGAAGCGTGGAATTGAAGCGTGGAATTGAAGCGTGGAATTGAAGCGTGGAATTGAAGCGTGGAATTGAAGCGTGGAATTGAAGCGTGGAATTGGAAGGTGGGAATGAAGCGTGGAATTGAAGCGTGGAATTGAAGCGTGGAATTGAAGCGTGGAATTGAAGCGTGGAATTGAAGCATGGAATTGAAGCATGGAATTGAAGCATGGGTCCAGCAGCAGCGCTCATGCTCATGCGTAGAAAGAGCGTGTGAAGGGGATGAGGGGGGCTAGCGGGGAGCCGATAAGTGCGTTGAAGAACGCGCTCCTCTCGACTGAGTTGAACGCGTTCTCAATGTCGAGTTGGAGGACTAGGCTGGAGGGCTGCACGGTGGTGAGGTCTCTGACTGCATGGATGACGAACTCAGCACCTCCCGGGACTGCCACGCCAAATTGCTGAGGTAGGAAAATTTTTCGCGTTTCTCCTTGCAGGTCTGAGAGTGCCACTTTCGCCGCCAGCCTAAGCAATGTTTCTCCAATCGCGATTGGGCGTACCCCCCCCCCTGGTTTGGCGAAGGCTATAAGGCGGGACGGGGCGAGTAGGGCTGCAACCTCGGTGGAAAGGTTTGTCGAGAGATGGTGTTTAACGGCGGAGTGGAGGTGCCCTAGTACCTCGATGTTACTTAGCGCTGGATCGCGGTAGTGTTCGAAGGTTGACCCCGATGGGCCAGCCCCAATTCCCCTGGGGCATTCCCCGAGGACGTCCGAAAAGCTTTCCAGGGTGGTTGAAAATTGTGTGGGTGTCGTGTAGGAGTGGACCCAGTCGGGCAGGTCATTTTGGGGTTGGGGGTGTTTCGATTCCAGCTGCTGCAGTGTCGCGAATGTCGCCGGTGCTGATGGCGAGGGTTGAAGGGCCGCTAACGCCTTTCGCAGGTTACCCCTTTTCACCAACCCCTCCGCACGTGAGCAGATTCCCAGCGGGTCACGTTGGTGCTGAGGTGGTTCGGCCAGGTGCATTGACCCCAAGTATTCGGTGTACAGCTGGGTCCAGTGTCCACATCGGAATAGATGCATCTGTGCCCGCAGCAGTTTCCACCTAGAGCTGGATCTCCGGCTAAGTCTTAGCGTGAGACGTGGCAGGAACATGAGGACCCGCCACGCTCCCGCGCAATTAGGCAGCTTTGAGATCCGTAGTAAGGCAGCCAGCATACAGGTGGAGTAGTCGCTGAGGATCTGCGGCGGCAGTCGGCGGACGATTGGTTGGTGGGTGATGGATGTTAGGAGCGTAAGGTCCCAGGTCATCGCGATCTGGAAAAGATCCTCCCGCGAGGCCAGCTGGGACGCAGATAGGGCTTGGTCCGGTGGGGGCTGGGCTCTGCGCTGCTGTCTGCGGTTGGTTCCTCTCTCCTGTTGCGCGACCTCCTCTCCTGATTCCGCGCGAGGTGAGTCGGGATTGTCTGGTTGCCTCAGATCTGACGGTATATAGTCCTCGTCTCTCGCCTCTCTGATGATATCGACGTTCCTCCCTGCTTGCGCTGGTGCACCACCTCTCGCCCCGCGCCTAGCGAACGACTGCCGCGTGATTCGTTCCGCCGGCTCCCCTAGCCAGATTGGGCTCGGTGGTTGGCGCCCGCGCCCCCTCGCCGCTTGACCTGCGCTCCTCTGTCCTCCGCGCGCTCCTCGTCGCGATCCTCTCCCCCGCGCGCTTCCCCGTCCGCTCTGCGGGGTCCCTGCTGCTAGCGCCGCCTGTTGCGTGGGGAAAGTCGGGGTTGTAGGCTCCCCTTGTGTTGGAATTGCGCCTTGTGCTTGCGCAGATGGCGCTTCCGTCCGCCCACGACCGCGAGTGTACCGCGGAGAGTGCACCTGTGCTTCCGCCACGCCCGGCGGTGAGCGTTCCTGCTCGTCCTCCCGCTGCTGCGGACCAAATCCGGCGCCGATTTGAGGACCAGCGCCGTCCTCCCGGGCCGCGCGTCGCTGATTCGCCTCCGAGAGTGGCAACCCGCGCGGAGTCCGCTGTGCGTTCTGGCGCCTTGGCGGAGCCGCACCGGGGGCGTTCTCCGCGTCGTCGGACGCCTGAGCCTCGTGACGAACGCTGCGAGGGGCGGCGTGAAGATCGCCGCGAGCGTCGCTCCCCTCGTCGTCAGGGGAGCCGCAGCCGTTCCCCTGGGCGTCGTTCGCCAAGTCACCGTTCCCCATCTCGCCATTCGCCTCGCTGTCATTCACCCGCGCGCCGATCCTCAGGGCGTCGCTCTCCTGCTCGCCGTTCTCCGCGCGAATCGCCGGTGAAGCGCCAGCAGCGCCATTCTCCATCGCGTCGTGAGCGATCCCCTGCGCTCCGCCCGCGCAGCACGTCCCGGCCCCAATCTCCAGCCCGCTCGTGGTCGAATAGTCGTGGGCGGCGTGGCAGTCGCGGGGGCCGCGGACGCGGGGGCGGGGGTCGCCAGTCTGCGTCGGACTTTGCGCGCGCCCTGGAGAGGCTTCCGGACGTGCTCGCAACTGCTCTCCGTGAGTCGCAGGCGGCGACAGCCTGTCGCTCCGTTCCGCCAGACGCTCCTCGTTCTCTTCCCGCCATTGTCGAGGTAGCCAACCGTGCGGTGTCCCCGCAGCGCTCTGTCCAGCAGCCGCCTGTTCTCCCGGGTTTTGTTGGCGCTGGCGGAGGCCCAGCAAGGGGTCCGTATCGTGACCCTCGTCCTCGCCTTGAGGAGGCGGAGTATTCATGTTCCACGGCGACCCTGCGTCAGCTGTGGATACTGTCGGAGTGCCTAGAGGCACTGGCGCGTGTTCTCCGGTCGACTCGTGCGTCGATGCCGATATCCCGCCCGAGCACATTTGCTGAGAAACCGCAAGCAGCGTGCTTGGGGGCGGCGGATGAGATCCTATCCCTCTTGGCGCCACTGCAGGCAGCGCCCTCCCCGGGTGCAGACGCGGCCAACCTGCTGGCTCGCGCGGCCCTGGATCTGAGGCACATTGCAGGGTCGGTTGAAGGCACACCCGGAGATGCTCTAACCGCCTGCGTGTCAGTGGTCCGCCACTTGTGGCAGACCACGCGCGGAATGCTCTCGTTTCTGGGGGCGGACCGCATGTAGGTGCCCCCCTTTGTCTTGTGTAGACCTTCTCCATGATGCCTGCTAGTTGATGATGTTTGTCGCCATGCTGTCTGCTAAAGTTGTCCCGTTACCTAAGCTTGCCTCCTAAAATGCGCGGCCGTAGGCCGCGCACGCGAGCGCCGGCGGGCGAAGGCCGCCGGCGCGAAGCGCCGGAAAATTTGGAATCACCAAATGAATAATGAGCTAGGGAAGGTGCCGGCTGGCCATTATATAGCTGGGGGAAGGGGAAGAGGCTAAGTCCCCCTTTCTCTCTCGCTCTCTCGAAACGAGACCGTCTCTCTCTCTCTCTCTCTCTCTCTCTCTCTCTCTCTCTCTCTCTCTCTCTCTCTCTCTCTCTCTCTCTCTCTCTCTCCCTTTACTCTCATCCCCCGCCTCCCCCCATCACCTCACAGGCATCATAGTGCGGTCAGTAGGCAAAGCCACCCTCCAGCCTCTCTTGGGAGCACGGGCGGTGGCGGCGCTGCTTCTAGTCGCGGTGCTGGTGACGCTGCTCCTGGCAGCGCTCTTCAACGGGGCTGGCAGTGCGTGGAGGGGCGCCAGGGATGTGGTGGAAGCAGGGCACTTGGGAGGGCCGGGGAGTGAAGCACACAAAGCCACCATCACTGGCGACACGTAAGCAATACATGGGTGTACCTGTTTGAGATTTACCGCCTTTTTTCATGTGCATGGGAGTGCTATATGGTTTATTTGGCTTCATTGTATTTTGTTTTTGCTATTTTTTCTTTATGGTGTTTCATCTCAGGGTTGGTGGTACTCTGCGGGAGACGCTAGCACCCACACTTCACATCCTGCTCAACCTGCTTGCTACAGCTGCTCTAGCGGCTGCTCCCCTGTTCTTTGAACACTAATTCCTTATTCGGATAGACCGTTTTGTAGGAACAGCGGTATCAATATGCAATCCAGGGATCTTATTTATGTCGGATAGTGTAAGTTCTATGGGGTACCTGTGGAAATAAGGGTAAGAAAAAGATTTGCCTGGAAAATGAGCAATTCTACTCAGACTTGGATGAGCGTTTTAAGCGGGAAACGGTGTACTTGCTGTCGGCGATACCATTTCTTCAACGCGTATACGATTTTGTCAGCTCCACCTCGTCCTGACCTGTATGTTTCTCTGATTGGCGTAGGTGAATGCTTCTGGAGATCCTCCAAGGTGCACATGGATCTGACGTGGCGTCGGCAAATTTGTCAACCTTTCGAGGCTTCCAATGCCGACCACGTTCACTTCACCTAGGTTTCCCCAGCTTATCCCAAGCGGACAGCTGGCCATGATTTCACATTCTGCACCTTCCCCCCGCGCTTTCGAGTCGTCCGTCTGTCACCCTCAAATACCTTCACTCCTCGTCCTCCCCGAAAGCAACGGTCTGTGAATGTCCTAATTTCCCGAACTCGCCGCCTATTTCAGCATAAAGCTTCGCCAAATCCCACTCCCACCGCAGCTTGCAGCCTGCCACCGTGCTAGTCCGCGATCGCAACGCTGGTCCCATCCCATTTGCCTGGTCAATCGCGCAAGGGCGACATTCGTCGCAGCGACAACTTTTGCCAGAGTAATCCGAAGCGACTTCGCCGTCGGGACTGAAGCAGACTTCGTCCCTGTCATTCCCTTCAGCCGAAGCAGCACAAGGATAATTAAGCGCGGAAACGTGGTAGCTTACCCTTTTCCGCAGTAAGACATTTGCCAGTATTTCTGCGCCAGCATCTCTCCGCCAGCATCTCTCCGCCAGCATCTCTCCGCCAGCATCTCTCCGCCAGCACCGCCATGTTAGCAGCGCGCGCAGCCACGCCCGCTGCGCATTCGTGCCACCCCGGGCTCCAAGCAGCCATGGCGCCCGTGCGCACCTTCGCCGCAAGTTCCCACTCGCTACCCATTCCTTCCCCACAACGGCTTCCTGCGCGCTTTGAAGCGCAAAGCCGCGTCGCCTCCGTCTCTGGAGTGCGCGCGAGGCGCGCTGGGGGATTGCGGATACGAGCAATGGCGGAGAAACCAGACGGTACGTGCGACTGCCTTGATGCCCTGCCCGTTCTCGTGCCCATCCTGTTATTTCCCCCCAAAGACCTCTCTCCTGGAGATCTTTCCTTTGAGCCGCAATCTATGCGCGAGTTGGGCCGTCGTGTTCACGCAACATACTTCCAACCCCTCCCCCTAGAACCCCCCATCCCTGGCATTTTCCCAGCAAACTGCAATTCACGCGCGATTTTCGGCGCTCATGTTCTAAGGCGCTTCGCAAACACACTCTTCACCGCAAAACAACCCAAATCAACCCAATTCAACTCTATCCAACATAATTTCAACCCATTCCAAACCGTTGTGAACCTTCCCCGCAGACAACAGCTCGAGCAACCCCTCCACGGAGTCGCAATTCATGCGCGAATTGCGGCGCCGGCGCGCGGCCCAGTCCTCCAACAGCCAATCAGACCCTGCCAGCAAGGCACCCGGCGCAGAAGCGGGGAGCGGAGGGGCGGGGGGAAGTGGCGCGGGAGGGGGGCCGGGAATGCGCGACCAGCGGGCGGTTTCTAACGCGCTCAATAGTGAAGGGCTCGAGGTATGGGGGGGGAGGAAGCAGGGCGCCGGGCACAAAGCTTCTGATATGAGGTGCTCTTGGCTTTAGGTACTAAAGGTAGGATAGGGGGCAGGTTAGGTTTCCAAAGTGAAAACAAAAAGGAGGATATGGGAGGGCGTAAGCTGTGGCTGTGAAGCGGAGAGTTGGCTCGAGTGCAATAGAAGTCCTCCTACCCGTTCAGGGCCCTTTAGCACAGCAGCGGAGCGGCTCAAGCAGGAAATGTTCTTTTACCAATACCAACCAGTCGTCTCCTTTTTGTTCCTCCGTTTCCATTCTCTCCACCATTACTTCCATTCTCTGCCTTCCACCCTCCACCGCATCCGCATCTCACACCCACCAGGGCCTGCCGGCACGAGCAGCTGAGCTGCTGAAGCTGGGAGTCTCCTTCTACCTGCCGCTCTGGCCCTTTGCTCTCGCCATTATCACTGTCTTCACCGCTATGTACCTGGTAAGTTGTTCTCTTCATCGCTATGTACCTGGTAAGATGTTCTCTTCACCCACGTTACCAGTCTGGTCTGGGTAAACCGGCCCTCTTTTTATGCTTCGCTGCTTCGTGAGCCTTTTCCGAAAGGCCATTGTGAGCAGCTGAGCTGCTCACAAAATGGATGGTTATGGTCCATACCCATCCAGCTCAAATCTGAGCTGGCTGTCTCTCGGAGGCTCTGAACAGGCTCTGTTGCATTGCATGGTCTGCATTGTCAAAACTTGATTTCGTTATTGCTGCTCTCTGCACTCTATGCATATTTCTCAAGGGATGCTAAATCACGCGACTGACTAGGCCTCCTCATTCTGCTGTCATCCTCTTTATTGTGTGACCAGTTCCTGGGATCCGGCTTTGTGCATCCGGGCAAGAGTTACGGGGAGGGCCGGCAACCCCCAAGCTACATCGACCCTTACGCACTGCTGGAGGAGGAAGAGAAGTACATGGAGCGCATTCCTTATGATATGAGCACTTATCTAAAAGATAACTATGACCCGGAGTTGGATGGGTGATGGGCTACCTACTGTACATTTCCTGCTGGAGGAGGAAGAGACATATGAAGACAGAATCCTGTATGATTTGAGCAGGTACCGAAGGGATTACTGTAACACTGAGCTGGACGGGTATTAGTACAAGGGCCAGCTTGATAGGTGTGTGATGTGTAGGAGAAGTACGGTACATGTAACATGTTCCATATAATGAGCTTGTACCAGAGGGATACACTACGGTATGACCTGGAGTTGGATGGGTATTGACAAGAGTGACGATTGGGATAACAGATGATGCACTAGGCAGTAGTACGACGTCGAATGTTATTAGGATGCAATACTGCACCGAATGTTTCGGTTTTAGAGCTGCAGCCTACATACTTCGAGCGGGAGGGCTGAGATTATCACTTGAAAACAGGGTGACCAGTTTTTGGACTCGGCCCCCTATCCTGCAAAGCTAACGGTTGAGAGGGGTGGAGAGAGGGGGTTGGGGTACTTTCCGCACGAAACCAAACTCCCCAGGTTGTTTCCCGCCCTTCCGCAGACCCTCCTCCAAACCACCCTTCAGCACGAAATTGGGCTGGATTCGCGTCTCCTGTCTGAGTTCGCCTGCTGCGGTGTTTCTGAAACATGCTGACTTCGTTCTCCAATCAGAACGCACGAAAGGGTGGGCATAACAAATACACTCAAAAAACACAACTTAGTATGTAGACCGCAGCTTTAAGAGTGTTAGAGCTGGTGTATAAGCGAGCTTGGACCAGCTCATCCCCATCTAAAAAGTGCCCCACAAAGCTATGGTATAATGAAACCATTACTACAGTCAGCAAGATTTCCTTTGTATAATGTATGAGTACAAACTTAGTGCATGAACAAACCCTCTCGTCATTCTGACTGCCCCACACACAGAAAATTTCCTGCCTTGACAGACAAGTAGAACAGTTCCCAGTATCATGCCACTGCTACGTGTGCCGCTGGCTGATGCACAGAAGAGTCCCGCCCCGCTCTATCCAAGACTTACAACAGAAAACATATTAGCAGCAGAGTCCACTCCATCCACACCTCTGCTACTTTTTCGCATACGGGTAACCCCAACTTACGCTTAGCAGCACGATGCTAATCATCCAAATCAACCACCTCAACTGGCCCTCTACCACCTCCACTTCCACCACCACTACCACTAGCTGATGCTGCTCCCCCTCTTCCTCTTCCTCCCCTCCCCCCTCTCCCTCTCCCACTTGCTCCTCCTCGCCCTCTCCCCCCTGCCCCTCTCCCTCTCCCTCCCCCTCGGCCTTTACCTGCCAGTGACTGCGCCCTACCCCCCTCTCTAAGCACGTCCATAAGAGGGACCTGTACGCTTTGGGAGGCTGTAGCTGCGCTGGCTGGTACCGGGGTTTCTGCAGGCACAGAGAGTGCAGCAGCAGGTGCTGGGGCTCCTGCAGCAGGAACCGGGGGTGCAGTTGGTGCTGAGGGTGCTAGTGCAGGCGCACCAGGTGCTTGTGAGACTAATGGTACTAATGGCGCTGCTGGTGTTGCTGGTACTGATGGTGTTGCAGCAGCTGCACTAGAAGGCGTTGCAGACGCAACAGCACGAGTAGAACGGCGGGATGGGAGCGGCGTGGCTGGGACAGGTGTGGCTGTGCTTGTGGGGGGGTTGGGGGTGGAAGAGGTGTGGAGAGGAGTGGAGAGCGGTGGGGATGCGGAGGGAGATGCATGGAGAGAGTATGGATCAGAGGCAGCACCTGTTGGTGAGTGCAGCCCAGGGGGAATGGGAAGACCGTGTGAGTGAAAAGGTGGATTTTGAAATTAAGAAATAACCAGAACAAGGGTAACGGGACGATTGTGTGAGTGAAAAGCACTACACGAATCTGAACGTAATGGCAGACGAAACAAGCAAAAGAATTGAGGCAAGGAAGAGGATCGGATAAAGGCGAGACGATCCCATTTATGCGAGAGAGTTGAAATTGTAAGATTACAGGATGCAATTGAGGCGAGCTTACTTGGACTGTTGGAGCCATTGCTAGTGTCGCCATTATGTGCGTTGCCATTGCTCGTGTTGCTTGTATCACCTGCATCTGACACCGAGTCACCCAGACGCAACCCGCCGACCTGCAAACCAAACGCCCCTCCTTCCTCCGATGATGTCATTTCAATCACAGGAGGCGATTCCCTCATGCCTCCTGCTGCTGCTGGCGACGGCGGTGGGAAGGGCGGTGATGGATTCACATCCACATCCTCTTGCTCTTGCTCTCCTCCCTGCCCTCCTGACATTTCTGCATCATTCTCTCCCTGTGCGTACGCATTTCCCAGTGCCTGTGTGTCTGCCTGTTCAATCGACTGCTGGGGAGACGCTGCATCAGGAGGAGCAGCAGCTGCTGGTGATGCTGCTGCTGCTGCTACTGCTGCTGCTTGGGTGCGTGTGAGGCGGGAGGAGTAGCGGGGAGTGGACTGTCTTGGGGTTGGCGCATCCATTGGCGCTGCACCCCTGCCCTTTGCTGCACACACACACACACACAGAGGCAGGATGATACCGGAGGGCAACGAGTCAACACACCTGTGACGAAGGACATAGGCAACATCCTAGAACAAACAACTTTCGGATTTCCTGTTGCATGTCCTATTGCTCAGAATCACTCACTCTTTGCTGTCGTTGGCTCAAAGTTACTATCATCTTCACTCTCCTCCTCTTCCTCCTTGTCGTTCCCACTCACTCACATGTAGTCGACTCAAAGATATCCCAACTGCCCAGAATCACTCACTCTTTGCTGTCGTTGGCTCAAAGTCAGTATCATCTTCACTCTCCTCCTCTTCCTCCTCCTCGTCCTCCTCCTCACTCTCACTCCCCTCCTCTCCCTCCCCGTCCTCATCCATTTCTTCACTGGCATCCGTACCACCCTCCTCCCTCTTCTCTTCATTCTCCCCACTGCTCCCATCACTCGCTGCTATGCTGCCAGTCCCGTCCAACTGTGTCCCATCTCCCCTATCCGCATCAAGACCACCAGCAGCAGCAGTGGCAGCAGCAGGAGCAGCAGTATCACCACCAGCACCGGTACCATCAGCAGCAGCAGCCACACCAGCAGCAGCAGCAGCAGCACCCAAAGCAGTTCCCAGCCCCTTCAACTTCCCCTTGCCCCACATGGTTCCCAGCAGTGTCTGCTGTTTCCCCTTCTGCTTCCCCTGCCTCTCCTCCTCCCCAAACCCTACACCACCCTGCGGCCTGTCCCCTCCCAGCCTTCCCCCATCTCTGATCCCTGTTTCTCCAACTGCACCCTTTGCCTTCCCCCTGCCCCCTCCTCCTCCCCCTCCCCCAGTCCCCCCTCCCCCAGTTACCCCTGCTTTCTTCCCCCTGCTTGCCCCCCCTGCCTGCTGCTTGCCGCCCTTCCTTCCTGCTGCGTTCCTGCCACGTGCCTTGTGATTATTGGCTGCCCGCTCCCTCTCCCTCTCCTCCTCAGCCGCCTCTGCCTCCACCTCCTGTTGGTCCGATTGTGCACACACTCACTCACACACACACATGCGCATACGCCACACACACAGAACACACACCACATGCACACACAGAAACACACACACCCACACGCACAAGATGCAGTTTAGTCAGAAAGTACTGGGTCCTCAGTCAGTGCAACGGATGGCTCACTCTTGAGAGGTCTCAAGGGGCGTCTGTCTATTCACAAGGGTGCAAAGAAGTTCACTAAGCCCCGGGTCCAGGGTCAGTGGAACAAAATGGAACACGGAAACGGGAGAGCAGGTTGTCGAACCATGGCCATGGTCTCTCTCTCACAGCTGCTGAGGCGACGTGGACTGCAGCGGCACCACCTCCTCCTCCTCGCAGCACTGCTGCTGGTGCTGCTGATGGTGATGCTACTGCTATTCACACACACAGCACCACGTGCAAACGCATACCCTCTCCCTTTACTCACCTCAAGAGTCTCCAGGAACAAATCCAGGTCTCTCTCCCACAGCTGCAGGGGCGAGGTCGCCTGCAGCACCACCACCTCCTCCTCCTTGCCCCTCCTCTCCCGCTCCAACTGCTCCACGCGCTCCCACGTCAGGCTCCACAAAGGCATTCCCAGCAGATACTCATACGCTGCTCCCACTGCTCCTGCTGATGGTACTGCTCCTGCTGCTGCTGTTTTTCCTGCGGCTCCTGATTTTCCTGCTGCTGCTGTGTTTTTCCCCTTCCCTGCCTTGTGCCCTGCTGGTGTTTCCACGTCGTCCATCTCCACGTCATCCCCATCCGCGCTGACATCAGTGCTGCCCGGGTCCACGTCAGCAACCACCACAGGGGCGGCCGCGTGACCCTTGGGAAGAGGGGTGAAACCACGTACCTGGGGAAAGGTCAAGAGGAGAAGGGGGAGGAAACGAGGGGAGGGAGGGGGAGCAAATGGTGACAGAAAGGAGGATGAGATAGAGGAGTGGCCTTTTCGTGGGGGGAGGAGGAGGGGCAACTGCTTTCGAGGAGGGTGAGAGACCACGGGCCTGGGAGGGTGTAAGAGGAAGGGAGAGGAAAGGGCACAAGCACAGCACCTCAACCACAGCCGGCACAATCCGTGACTGTTTCACATGCATGGACCCAGAACTTCGATTCTCACCTTGAGCTGTGCCACAATGTCAGCCTGCTTCCTCCTGTTGGTAATCACCACCTCCCCCTGAATCACCTCCTGCACAAAGCGAGTACGGCTGTCCAGCCGCACTTGCAAAGCCCCACAGCCCCAGCCCTCACCTTGAGCTGTGCCACAATGTCGGCCTGTTTCCTGTTAGTGATCACCACATCCCCTTGAATCACCGCCCGCACGAAGCGAGCGCGGTTGTCCAGCCGCAGCAGCTCGTGCCTCAGCTGTGCGAGTTGATGCTCCTTCCTCTGCTCGTAGTACCCCAGGCGAATGCCGTAAAAGTCCTCGATGACTGTGAAAGGTAGTAAAAAAGAGAGAATGAACCAAGAGAGGAACAGATAGATGGGAAGGAGGTAAGGGAAGGGCAGATCGTGCCTCAGCTGCACCAGCTGGTGCTCCTTCCTCTGCTCGTAGTACCCCAGGCGAATGCCGTAAAAGTCCTCGACAACTGATGTTCGTAGAGAACGTAAGGGATAAATGAACAGAGAAAATTAGACAGAGAGAGGGGCGGCGCGCAGCAAGCTGAAGGCAGCTCGTGTGTCTCATCTCAGGTGAGCCAGCTGGTGCTGCCTGCCTGCTTGCAACACCTTGCTGTGGGTGCTTTGCTTCAAACTCCACAGAAGGTGCTACTTGTAGCACTCCAGGCGGATTACTGTGGAAAGCAAAGCACCCACAGAGTCTCCCGAAGCACTCCCATCACACTCACGTAACCCCCCAAACACTCCCTCGACTCACTGTCTTCCGGGCTGTCGTATTTCTTCATGCGCCCATCTGCATCAAACAGGTGCATATTCCCCGTGTTCATCGTCGTTGTCAGCTTCAGCCGCTTCTCCATCACCGCCCACTGCGCGCGCGCCCTCCTCTCCTCCCTCTCCCTCCTCGCCTCCTCTCCCTCCTCCTCCTCTTGCCCCTCTGCTCTCTCCCCCTCACATCCCGCTCCTCCTCCGCCCATCCCCTCCCCCCCTACGTCTCCACTCCCAGGCGACCTTGCACCCGCTTCCGGGTCTTCACCCTCAGGAAAACTCACCCCAGCAGCAGCACCACCAGCTGCTGCTGCCGTTGCAGCAGCACCAGTGGCAGTACCAGTTGCAGTTGCAGCACCTGCCCCTGCCGCAGCCGCCGCCGCCGCAGCAGCAGCAGCAGAGGCAGCAGCAGCCGCTGCAGCACTTCCTCTCCTCGCTCCCACCGTCCCTCCTTCTCCCATGAAATACGCCGCTCCCTCAGCAGTAAATTCCACCTCAAAATGCACCGACGTATCAGTATGATACTCCCTCATGTCCTTAATCAGCGCCACCTTTCCCCCTCCCTCCCCACCACCATGACCACCACCCGCTCCTCCCATCATCCCTTCCAGAAACTCCTTGTAGTTCTGTGTCCACGTGCGGATGGGGAGCTCTGTGATCGCGACACCTGTCACTCCCTGCTGCTGCGGCTGCTTCTCGCCCTTGCGCCCGCCGCTGCTGCTGGCCAATCGCGTCGCGACACCTGTCACGGTGTACGAGTTGCCTCCTCCCTGCCGCGCTGACGTCAGCTGGATGGAACCCTGGATGGTTGGGGGGACACAGGGTATGTGCCATGCCAACCCACAGGAGCAGCAAAAGATAGGGTGAGAACAGTGAGAGGGGCTACAGCGAGAGGAGGCACACAGAGAAGTGACACAGAGGTTGCGGAGAAACATCGATGGGAGAAGTAGAGGAAGACGCAGCATTTCCAATCTTCCCAAGCCCTCAACCTCCCCCCCCCCCTTCCCCATCCACTCCACTTCCTCAACTCACCTTGAAGGCACGGCACCAGGGGTGCATGGTCAGCATCGCTTCGCCCCTCATGCGCCTTTTGAGGTTTGCCACCACATCCCGCGGGTTGAACGCCGCCACGTACGAGCTCCACCCCGTGACACATATCCGCCCACTAAATCACTAAACGACAAACCCTGCCTCCCCTTTCCCTCCCCTTCCGTCGCCTTCCCTCGCTCAGAGAAAACCCCCTTCTCTCTACCCCCTCATCCTCCCACTCCCTTACGGACCTTGAAGCCACGGAACCAGGGGTGCATGGGCAGCATAGGCTCCCCTTTCATGCGCCTCTTGAGGTTCGCCACACGTCGGCACATACGAGCTCCACCCCGTGCCAAGTAATCCACTAAAGGACAAACCCTGCCACCCCTTTCCCTCCCATTCCCTCCCGCTTCCCCCCAGCATACCCCCCCTTTTCTCCCCCCCTGCACACCTTGAAGCCCCGGAACCAGGGGTGCATGGGCAGCATAGGCTCCCTTTTCATGCGCCTCTTGAGGTTCGCCACCACGTCCCGCGGGTTGAACGTCGGCACATACGAACTCCACCCTGTGCCGATGCCCTTCCACCCCACTACACGACAAGCCCGGCCACCCTCTTCCCTCCCCTTCACTCCCGCTTCCCCCCAGCATACGGCCCCTTTTCTCTCCCCCCTCGTCCTCCCCCTCTCTTGCACACCTTGAATCCGCGGAACCAGGGGTGCATGGGCAGCATGGGCTCCCCTCGCATGCGCCTCTTGAGGTTTGCCACCACGTCCCGTGGGTTGAACGTTGGCACATACGAGCTCCACCCCGTGCCGATGCCCTCACTGCCGTTGATGAGCACCATGGGCAGGATGGGCACGTACCTGGGGGTTGGGTGGGGAAGGAAAGGATAGACGAGGGTAGTGAGTAGTGAGGCACATGGGGCACGTACGAGCTCCACCCCGTGCCAATCCCTTCACCGCCGTTGATTAGAACCATGGGCAGGATGGGCACGTACCTGGGAGGGGGGAGGGGAAGGGGAGGGGGTTGGATATGGGCACATGGGCCACATACGAGCTCCACCCCGTGCCGATGCCTTCACCGCCGTTGATGAGCACCACGGGCAGGATGGGCACGTACCTTGGGGGAGGGGAGAGAAAAGGGGGCACATTAGGCTCATACGACCTGCACCCCATGCCTGGGGCACACCAGGGGCACTACCTTCACGTATCATCACCAGGGGCACTACCTTCACGTATGATCACCAGGGGCACTACCTTCACGTATCATCACCAGGGGCTGGATGGGCACATGCCTGGGGAGAGAGACGGGAAGTGGAGGAAGGGTGGTTAGGAAGGCAAGGATAAAATGAAGGATGGGAAAGGATAGGCATATACACCCCTCCTCCATTCCCTCCAGCCCCTTCTCTAGTCTCTCTCCAATCCCCCCCAGCGGCTCACCACTTGAGTTCACTCCTCTGCCTGTCATAATCCCGATACTACAGCAGTGAGTCGCCAACCACACAGCACCATAACGGCCCGCATCGAGCGTCTCGGCTTCTCTGTTGCCCACCTTCCTTACTCGCTTCTCCTCCCCAAACCCCCCCCCCCCAGAGAGCTCACCACTTGGGTTCGATCCTCTGCCCGTCGTCATCCAGGTAATCCAGCAGTGCGTCGTTAACCACACAACACCACAATAACGGACCCCAGCTGCCGTCCGTGCTTCACAAGGTGACTTTTGAGTCGACTCAAAAATCCAGCAGTGCGTCGTTAACCACACAACACCACAATAACGGACCCCAGCTGCCGTCGGTGCTTCACATCCCTCTCCCCCCACCTCCCTTTCTCCCCTCCCACCCTATCAGCTCAGCAGCTCACCACTTGGGTTCGATCCTCTGCCCGTCGTCATCCAGGTAATCCAGTAGGGCGTCGTCAGCCACTGGGAAGATGACACGTGTCAGCCTGTGCAGACGCGTGTAGATGTACCTGGGACTGGCCGCATCCTTGCCGCCCTGGAGACAGACAGACACACAGGAGGGGCAGGGAGGAGGAAGAGAGGAGAGAGAGGGGAGAGAGGAGGGATGGGAGGGAGAGGAGGGAGGGGAGGGAGGGGAGGGAGAGGAGGGCGGGGAGGGCGACGAGGGACAGGATGGAGAGGATGGAGAGAAGGGAGAGGAGGGAGAGGAGGGAGAGGCGGTAAAGGAGAGAGTGGAGGGAGAGGCGGGAGAGGACGGAGATAAGGGAGAGAAGAGAGAGGAGGAAGAGGAGGGAGAGGCGGGAGGGGAGGGAGAGGAGGAAGAGGCGGGAGAGGAGGGAGAGGAGGGAGAGGAGGGAGAGGAGGGAGAGGCGGCAGAGGAGGGAGAGGCGGGAGAGGAGGGAGAGGCGGGAGAGATGAGAGGATGGATAGGAGGGAGGGGAGGGAGAGGAGGGAGAGGCGGGAGAGGAGGGAGGGGAGGGAGAGGAGGGAGAGGCGGGAGAGGAGGGAGAGGAGGGAGAGGAGGGAGAGGAGGAAGAGGAAGGAGATGCTGGAGAGGAGGGAGAGAAGGGAGAGGAGGGAGAAGAGGAAGAGAAAGGCGGTGATAGGGCAGAGAGATGGAAGAGGGCGCAAATTCATCAGCTTGTGCTAACGCATGTAGATGTACCTGCGGCTCATTGCATCGCTTCCACTCCTGAGGTGTACCCACAGGACGAAACCGAGGGCGGGCAGGACACAGAGATGGAAGCAAGGCATGCGTTACTCAATAAACCCGGGCTCTCTGCCATTGGTCTCCTGCTGTCCGCCCTCAATCCTCGACCCTCAGCCCTCTGCCACTGCTCTCTGTGCCCTCCGCCCACTGCTCTCTGTGCCCTCCGCCCACTGCTCTCTGTGCCCTCCGCCCACTGCTCTCTGTGCCCTCTGCCCTCTGCTCTCTGTGCCCTCTGCCCTCTGCTCTCTGTGCCCTCTGCCCTCCGCCCTCTACCCCCCCTTTGCCCTCTGCTCTCCGCCCTCCCCTTCTCACCTGCAGGCGAGTTCCGAACTGCCCGGACGGAACGAGCAGGTGGACGTTGTTGCTGCCCACGAAGTCCTGGGCGAGGTTCACAATGGTGCTCATCAGACTCTGCTCGCCGTGATGGTACGCTGCGTGTTCTGACACGTACCCTGCCAGCTGTGCCACCTGCAGAAGGATTAGGAAGAGGACAAGGCAGGGGGAAGGGGTGGAGAGGTTAAGGTGGATGGGGCTCACAATGGTGCTCATCAGACTCTGCTCCCCGTGGAGGGGATGGAGCGCACGCCAGCGCATGCATGCACTGCAAATCATGCCACAGCACCGCACAGCACCCCTCAGCACCCACCTTGATATCTGAGTGCAGCTTGCGCTTGAAGCACGAGAAGAGGATCTTGCGCTGCCCCGGCTTGAGCCCGTCCACAACGGAGGGGATGGAGCGCATGTTGTCAGCAATGGAGTAGAGGATGAGCTCCTTGTCCACAAAGTCGCTGTAGCTGATGCGCTGCGCCGTCTGGTCCAGGTACGTGCCGGGCTGAGGGTGTGGCACGGGGGGAATGGGAGGGGCGATGGGAGGCGAGAAACAGTGGAATAGGGGATTTGGATTATGGAAAACGGAGGAGAAAACGATGGGTGCCCTATGGGATGGGCACTCACCTCATAGGAGCACAGCCACTGCTTCCGGGCGTCCACCGCCTTTTTACTAAACGCCATCTCGATCCGCTCCCCATCGCCCTCCCCCACCCAATCCCTCCCTCCTGCACTCTTTCGCCATCCTACCCCTCCGCTCACCTCATAGGAGCGCAGCCACTGCTTTCTCGCATCCACCGCCTTCTTGCTAAACGCCATCTCGATCCGCTCCCCGTCGCCCTCCCCCCGCCACTCAAAGTCCTTCCTGTGCCGGTCCAGCTGTGCAAAATACTCCTTGGCCTCCTTGGGCGTGCTCGTGCCCAGACCCTTGTAGTACTTCACCTTCCACTGCCTCGCCTCCGAGCCTAAAGTCCGTTTCCAAGCCTCGTACTCAGGTATGGTGTAGAAGGCGAGGGTGCGGCCTCTAGGCCCGGTGGCTTTGACGATCGGGGTGATGAATTCGCGGAGGAAGGAGGGGTGCTTGAGCAGGGACGGCCAGCAGGAGTGCAGGAGGTTGATCAAAAGCCCCTTGATGTGGGATCCATCGTGGTCCTGGTGGGTGGGATGGGCATAGGGGGGACGGAAGGGGAAAGGGGTGGATGAGTGCTAGTGGTGATGAATTCGCGGAGGAAGGAGGGGTGCTTGAGCAGGGAGGGGCCAGCAGGAGTGCAGGAGGTTGATGAGGAGACCTTTTATGTGGGACCCATCGTGGTCCTGGTGGGTGGCATGGGAGTGAGTGGTGAGGGCAGAGGAGACATGCACGATGGAGTGAATGATGGTGCTGAGAGGGACGAAGCGAAGAAACGAAAGCAAGAGGGGTGCTTGAGCAGGGAGGGCCAGCAGGAGTGCAGCATGGTGATGAGAAGACCTTTTATGTGGGACCCGTCATGATCCTGTGGGTGGGATGGAAGTGAGTGACACGGGCAGAGTAGGGACGATGGAGTGAATGATGGTGCTGTGAGGGAAGATAGGAAAGCAGGAAAAATGTTTGAAGAGAGAAGGCCAGCAGGAGTGCAGGAGGTTTATGAGGAGCCCCATGATATACATATACAGCGTCCTCACGGTCTCACTCACCTGGTCAGTCATGATCATAAGGTGCCCATATCGCAGCGCCTTCACGCTTTCATAGCTCTTCCCATGCTGCAGCCCCAGGATCTGCTTCAGGTGCCCTATCTCAGTATTCTCCATCATCTGTCGGTGAGACGCGTCCCTCACGTTCAGCAGCTTGCCTCGCAGGGGGAACACACCGTAGCGGTCGCGACCCACCACACTCAGCCCTGACACCTGGAGAGAGTAAAACATTGATGGAGGGAGCGGGGGAGGGAGAGAAACGATGAGTTTTATATGCCCTTCTTCCTTTGAACTTGAATTTGCTACACCCCTCCCCCCCTTGGAATATGCTCAACACTCAAAGCCTCTTCCCATTCACATCCTTAAAACCCCTTTAAAAAAAGATACCGAAGTGAGACTCTCACTGCCAGGGTCTTAACTGAGTCCCCTTCAGTGAGGATGTGAGTGCAGTGCTCTGCATTCCTGCCACCCGCCTCATTGGCATCGTCCAGCTTCACTATGCATGCCCGACACGCGCTGCCTCTTCCCCCCCTCACCCCACATCCTGCCCTTCTAAGAAAACAGAGCGATTCTCTCACCGCGAGAGTCTTCGCCGAGTCCCCTTCTGTGAGGATGAGTGTGCAGTGCTCTGCATTCCTGCCACCTGCCTCCTTGGCATCGTCCAGCTTCACTATGCATGCCCGACACGCGCTGCCTCTTCCCCCCCTCACCCCACATCCTGCCCTTCTAAGAAACCAGAGCGATTCTCTCACCGCGAGAGTCTTCGCCGAGTCCCCTTCTGTGAGGATGAGCGTGCAGTGCTCTGCATTCCTGCCACCTGCCTCCTTGGCATCGTCCAGCTTCACTATGCATGCCCGACACTCGCTGCCTCTTCCCCTTCATCCCCCATCCCCCAGTTTCCTTCCTACCCTCCAAATAACGAGATTGAAGTGACTCTCTCACCGCCAGAGTCTTGGCAGAGTCCCTTTCAGTGAGTATCAGAATGCAGTGTTCTGCATTCCTGCCGCCCGCCTCGTTGGCATCGTCCAGCTTCGTTATGCCCGACACTCGTTGCCTCTTCCCATTCACCCCCCATTCCCCCATTTTATTCCTACCCCTCTCAAGGAGAAACCAAAGCTAATTTCTTACTGCCAAAGTCTTAGCAGAGTCTCCTTCTGTCAGTATGAGGGTGCAGTGCTCCGCGTTCCTACCACCCGCCTCGTTAGCATCGTCCAGCTTCGTTATGCCCGACAAGCACTGCTTCTTTGCATACAATCCCATCCGCCCCTCCCGTTTTCGTCCTACCCTCCCAAAGAATAACCACGGCAAATCTCACCGCCAGAGTCTTAGCGGAATCCCCTTCAGTGAGGATGAGGGTGCAGTGCTCCGCGTTCCTACCCCCCGCCTCGTTAGCATCGTCCAGCTTCGTTATGCCCGACACGCGCTGCCTCTTGCTGCCGTCGCTGCGCTTGAGATCCTTGGTCTGCTTGTGCGCTGCTAGCGACAGCAGATGCTCCACTATGCCGCACTTGGCAGCGACTGTGGCAAGAGAGAAAGCCGAGACAGGGGGTTGCAACGAGCAGAAGGTGAATGAGAACTGCCTCACTCAGAGAGCTGGCACTCGGAACCAAAGTCAGAGGGGCTTGTGTTTTACGAGTTGTTCGAGGCATCTCACAAGTATGAAGGTTTATTTCGAGACGTCTCAAAATAAACCTTCATACACGCGGAACCAAAGTCAGAGGGGCTTGTGTGTTACGAGTTGTTCGAGGCATGTCACAAGTCCCATCCCTTGCATTGCATATCAGCATACCTTTCTTGCGGAGGTCTTTAAAGAGTCTGTTCTTGAAGCACCTCTATAACATACCTTTCTTGAGAAAGTTCTCAGAGAAGTGGCACTTGGAGCCAAATTCAGAGGGGCGTGTGTTGAGTGTCTCTAGAGGCACCTCACAGATCCCATCCCTTCCATTGTACATGTTCCCCTACCTTTCTTGAGAAAGTCTTCCGAGAGGTGGCACTTGGAGCCAAAGTCAGAGGGGCGTGTGTTGAGCGTCTCTAGAAGCACCCCTCAAATATCTCATTTCTTCCCTTCATTCCATACCGTTGCATGCGCACCTTTCTTGAGAAAGTCTTCCGAGAGGTGGCACCAAAGTCAGAGGGGCGTGTGTTGAGCGTCTCCTTGGTCTGCGAGTCAAATGCCGGGTTCACCACCAGGCAGTTGACAAACACCCACAGCTGACTGCGCACCTGAAAGCGACCAGAGGCATAGGCAAGCAAGAAAAGGGATAGAGCACAGAGGGGCGCGTGTTGAGTCTCTCCTTGGTCTGCGAGTCAAAGGCTGGGTTCACCACCAGGCAGTTGACAAACACCCACAGCTGACTGCGCACCTGAAAGAGACCAGAGGCATAGGCAAGCAAGAAAAGGGATAGAGCACAGAGGGGCGCGTGTTGAGTCTCTCCTTGGTCTGCGAGTCAAAGGCTGGGTTCACCACCAGGCAGTTCACAAACACCCACAGCTGACTGCGCACCTGAGGGAGAGGGAGGGGGCATATGCAAGCAAAGCAAGGTATAGAGCACAGAGGGGCGTGTGTTTATATTCTCCTTGGTTTGCGAGTCAATCGCCAAATACACCACCAAGCAGTTCACAAACATCCAGAGACAGACAGCAGCAGGCAGCAGCACAGGCACAGCAGTGCAAGAAACGAACACAAACGCTCTCCCCCACTCTCTCAGCTGAACACTGCCACCAACAAGCCTTTCTCAATCCCTTTCCCCCCTTTTTCACCTGGTGTGGCTTGATGGCAGCAGCACCACTGGCAGACCCGTGCTTGCCAGTGCTGGCCTTCTTCTGCACCTTCTCCAGCAGGTGCCGCACGATCTGCTCTCACTCTCCCACTGTCCCCCTCATGTTCTGCCTAGCACTCTCTCTCACTCGCTCTCCCATCCAACCCTTCTCTCCCCCCTCCAAATCCTCTCTTTCACTCGCTCTTCCTGTCCAATCCTATCCCAGTCCCCCCCTCTTCCCCTCCCCATCCTCACCTGGTGCGGCTTGATGGCAGCAGCGCCACTGGCGGACCCGTGCTTGCCAGTGGCAGCCTTCTTTTGCGCCTTGTCCAGCAGGTACCTCACGATCTGCTCTGATACCATGTTCACGTGCGTGCCTCCTCGCGTGGTCGCAATGGCGTTCACGAAGCTGACCTGCAGGCACGGTCAGGCATGGACACAGGCATGAAATTAGGCATGGCTCGGACTTGAAATTGGCTATCTCAAGCAGGCACGGACACACGCGCGCGCGCGCGCACACACACACACACGCGCGCGCGCGCACACACACACACACGCGCGCGCGCGCACACACAACACAACACACACACACACACCACACACACACACACACACACACACACACACACCTTCCAGCATACACCTCTTGCCCATTCAACCCCTTCCCCCCTCACTTCCCCCGCCCATCGACAGTACCTGTTGGAACTGCCCATCGCTGGTGGACACGCACACCTCCCAGCAGTCGTTCACCCTCTCGTGAATCCTGCACAATCAAATGGCAGCCGTTAGTTGCGAATCACGGGCGCACTTGTGGCAGCCGTTATCTCTCATGAAAAATTGACCCGGAGTAATGCGCCTGGTGAACTTAGGCAAGACCAACCCCATCAGAAAACTCACCCCAACGAATTATGGTGTCAACGCATACTCTTAGGAGTTTCACGGGTGGTCAGCAATAGAAATACGGACCTTGGGAGCTTCTCATGAGTTGAAGGATGAGCAGCAGCTGCAGCTGCTGCCGCTGCCGCTTCTGCTGCAGACACCCCTCCTTCCGCCCCTGCCCCCTCTCCGCCTTCCCCTCCGCCCCCTCCGCTCCCCCCTTCCCCTGATGATGGCGGAGTGGCGGGGGGTTGCGGGGTGGGCGGCGGAGGAGGGGCAAGATACAACCCCGCATAATCCGCAAACGATTTCACAGGCACACGCGTGCCATTGAGCGTGACCTTCACGGATTTCCCCAGGCACCCTGCCACGTCAACGACACGTCGGCTCATGAGTGCCACGTGGTCTGCGTCTAGAGAATCGAGCCCGAATTTGGCCAAGTCCGGGTGGAAGGTGATTGAGGTGAAGTTGTCGGTGGGCTTGCAGACCTTGATTACTGGTTCCTTTTTCACGCTCATGTTCTTAGAGAAGACCTGGAGAAGGGGCACAGGGAGATGGTCGAATGAGGGGCGGGGAAGAAGGGGAAGAAGGGGAGAAAGGGATGAAAAAAGGAGCTAATTCTGAGTGGAAGGTGATGGAGGTGAAGTTGTCGGTGGGCTTGCAGTCCTTGATCACTGGGGCCTTCTTGACGCTCATGTTCTTCGAAATGACCTGGTGAGATAAGGGAGGCAGTGGGGAAAGAGTCTGATTAGAGAAGAGGACTGCACGCAGGATAGCACCTGGAAGGTGATGGAGGTGAAGTCGTCGGTGGGCTTGCAGTCCTTGACCAATGGAAGCTTCTTGATGCTCATGTTTTTTTTATATATATACCTGGTTAAAGGAGGGAGGCAGTGGGGAAGGGATCTGATTAGAGAGGAGGATTGCATGCAAGATAGCATCTGGAAGGTGTTGTTGTCGGTGAGCTTTCAGTCCTTGTTATTCAAAAAGACCTGCAAGGAGGGGGAAGCGGGGATGAAGGGAGGGGGACGGGGAAGAGACATCACTAGTGGTAACCGACACCCAAAGAGTGTTCGCTCGCACGCACCTGACGCGACCAGAAAGTCCCCCTTAGCGCCTCCCTGCACCACGCACCTGCTTGTACTTTTTCTGCCTGCTGCCGTCGGCCGTCTCGACCACAATTTCCGTGCTGAAGATGTTGACCAGCTTCGCGCCGTACGGTGATTTTTGTACCCAAGAATCCTCTGCCTGAGCACATACCTGCTTGTACTTCTTCTGCCGGCTGCCGTCAGCCGTCTCCACCACAAACTCCGTGCTGAAGATGTTCGCCAGCTTGGCGCCGTACCCGTTGCGCCCGCCCGTAGTCTTGCGCGCCGAGTCGTCGTAGTTGCTGCTCGTGAGAAGATGCCCGAAAATCAGCTCCGGCACGTAGCACCCCTCCTTCGCGTGCACCTCCACGGGAATTCCCCGGCCGTTGTTCCACACCTGCGTGGAGATCCAGGGACGGGTATATTCGGGACGCGTGGTGTATGTAAATCCAGGTGCCTTCCCAGAACGGAACATTCCTCCTTCGCGGGGACCTTCGAGGAAATTCCTCTCCCGTTGCTTGACACATTTGCGCGACGATAAGACTATCCGGAGAAAATGCAGCCGGAGATAGTCCAAAAACGAATACCCAAAAAAATGCAGTACAAATGAGGCTAGATACTAACTCATACTATGAGCAGAGTGTGTTCAGACAAGCACAAACATGTAGGTCCACTAACTAGCGGTCTAATTCACATAGCTCATCTGTAGCAACGGCCCCCGCGTCGTCACGGACTAGTCAGCACATCTACGAGTCGCTCACCTGAATCTTATTCTTGGCGGTATCGATGGTCACTTTAATCGCGTCCATGCTCGGGTCGCGCTGCTTGTTATCCGCCGCATTCACCAGAATCTCGTCAAATATCTTATACAGCCCCGGAACCATCCGAACCTCGCGGTGTACCATCCGACCCTGCTCCCAAACCCACTGCGGACCCACGTGCGTCTGCACCGAACCTATGTACGTGTCCGGCCGGAGGAGCACGTGCTCTAGCGGCGTCTTGCGCTGATAAGTCTCCTCGATCGTCTTCCCATCTGGACCGACGGCGTTGGGGGTTTCTACCAGTGGGGGTCCGTCAGCGAAGGGTAAGGGGGTTGCCGGCGAAGCGGCGGTGGTGCGAGCTGCTTTTTTAGTGGTCCGTGGAGTGCTGCTCGGGGCCTTACGCTTCTTCGCGGTTTTTGGTGTCGCCTCCTCGGGAATATACTGCGATCGAGCGAGACAGCGAAGGCACGTTCAGTAAATCGTACGGTTGCTCATGATGACTAAAAAAGCTAGAAAAAAAAAATAGTGAGCTATCGGTACTGTTACTTACCTCGTCCTCGCTTGAATCGCCCGCCATTCCCTTTTTCTGTTTCCTGTACTAAGATGCAGGGCTACTAATGAGGGCGCACTAGAAATAGCATACGTTTCTCTACATAAATGTTAATTCGACCACCAGAGCCCGAAATGGCAATCCGGCTATCCCGCTATAATATTTTTTTTCACGTAAGACTCTTGCCTTTTCCTGGAAAGCTGCTCAGTCTTGAGATGGTTGAACCATGGAACCTTGAAACTTGTTCAGAAGCAAATCCCAAGGGCATGCTTCCGAGAGCCAGGGCTTGGAAAGAGATTGTTGAGAAAACCAAGGGGATGCAGCCGTACCGCACGCTGAGGCAAGGGCCAAAGCACGGCCACGAGACTCGACGGCCAGTTCGGCGCTGGTGGATGGTTCGGTTCGGCATGGTGGCTGTTAGAGAAACCAGGCCCATGCGTGGCGGGAAAACGAGTCGCGTGTCTCGAAATTTGAACGGGAGGCTCGGAGTAGCCGAGCCGAATAGAGATGCGGCAAGGCGAGGCTGCGTGACCTTGAAGTCTCAATTTGAATGGCCAAAATATACGCGCCGGAGCCGCCCCGTAAAAATACAATGGGTTGTCAAGTGGCAGATAATATTACAACGTTAGACCCATTACATATGCATAACAAAAATACATACAGCTAAGCATGGTTCTCAAGTGGTCCTAATCCAGAAAATAGGGTTTCGGGTGCAGGCAAACATACTAGCATCATCCACACAACACCTACATATTGACTTGGAGAGCACAAGTCTCTCCACTAGTAAAGTGTTGAATGGTCCCTCGGAGACACGAAGCTTGACGCGCCACCCATTGAAGTCCTTCCCCTTGCCGCTGTGGCAGCAGCACCAGACGAAGTGGTGGAATATCTACTCCCTCTTGAAGCACCTGAGAGGCACGACTTACGACTGCTAACACTCCTGGCATCTTCATCGTCGTCAACCCCACGCCTACCGCCTCCAGCTACTCCTGAAGATGCAATGCCGCCAACGTTCAAACTGCGAGCCAGGTTCGGCGCATACTTCTCCAGAGCGTGAACGGATATCCTGTCGTCGTCCTCCCTCTCATCCCGGAATCGACGCTCACGATCGCACTGCTGCAGATACTCGGTGCCGCGGTCTCGGTCCCGCTCTCGCTCGCGTTCCCTCTCCCGACGAATCGAAGTGGCGATTGACACAGCATCGGCACCATCGTCTTCCTCCAGGGAACCACGCAGTCCGCCCCTGCCTCGAGATGCTGGGGAGGAATGAGAACAGGACAGGGTGTGGGAGGGGAGGGGAGGATAGGGTATTGATAAGGATTTAGAGGCAAGAAGTGAAGCTGACTACTGAAAAAGTAGGCGGTGAGGAGGGGGGGAATGCAAAATGAAGTGCAATCGAGAATGGCAGTGGGATGTAGGGTAGAATGATAGAAGAAAAGGCCCGTACCTGAACGCGGAGCAGCATATGTGTCTGAAAACACGCCAGCCCGTGCACTCTCCCTCGGAGTCCTCGCCTGCAACCCTGCCCCCGCACCACCACCACCATACCCTCCTCCTACTCCTACTCCTGTCCCTCCTCCACCTACCCCTCCTCCGCCATAAGCCCTCCTTGAGCTGCCCCCACTGCGTGTTGACCTCATGTCATCATCCACATTGCTCCCCACACCACAACCCCTATCTGCCTGTAAAGCTTGCTCAAGCTCTGCTGCTGCACTCCACCTCCTTGCACCACCAGCACCACCACCAGCACCCCCAATGGATGATGTTCCGTAGTCTACAGCAGTCACTGCTGCTGCGGCTGTCATCCCCATCGCCCCTCGCCCACCACTTCTTGATCCAACGCCCCTCTGCCCAGCCATGCTTCGGACCGTCTCATCCCGACCTGCTCCAGAGGCTCGGCCGTTACCGCCTCCCAAGCCCCCGCCATCGGACAGATAATCCAGCTCTTCAATTATCTGCCGCCCAGACAAGCCCTGCTCTAACGACCGTCCGATTTTGAACCCCAAACCATCTCCGGTAGATGGAAGGCCAAGATTCTCCACCCTCCCTCTATCATCCAGGAAGACCCGCCCTGCGCCCACTCCCCTGGAAGCCCCGCCTTCGCTGTAATATTCGTTAGCTGCCTCCCGAAACCTCCCTCCTTCCGCTCCGCCTCCGCCTCCCCCTCCCCGTTCCCCTCCCCCTGTGCCAGTGTACTGAAATTCCCGCATGAACGCCCCCGCGGCGTGCGCGAGCCTGCTTTTCGCGCCTTGCACGTGATCAAGCTGCCCTTGCAACTCCTCCACCGCCGACTGTAAGGTTTGCACTCGGTGCAGTAACATATTCTCAATCTCTTTTCTCTCTTCCGCGTATGCTTCTAACGCGTTCCCCGCGCGTTCGCGAATCCTCCGCGCTTTTTCCTCCGCTTCTTGCACTTCCCCCAGCCGCTTCTCCCGCTCTCCCCACATCTCCCCCCGCGCGCGCTCCGCCGATTCTTCCGCCTCTGCGCGCTCCTTGCTCAGCCGATCCATCTCCACCGCCATAAAATCACGCTCTTTGCTCAGCCGTTCGATCTCCAGCGCCATCAGATCGCGATCTTTCCGCAGCCGTTCGATCTCCACCGACATAAAATCTCGCTCCTTTCTCACCCGTCCGATCTCCACAGCCATCAGATCGCGCTCTTTCACGGACCGTTCGATCTCCATCGCCATCACCTCTCTCTCCTTTCTCTTCACCGCTAATTCCGCATCCATTTCGCTCACCTTAGCCGCGAAAGTTTCTAAATGCCCGGCTAGGTCCTTCCAACCCTTGCGGAAATCCCTCAGATCCTCCTCTGCTATAGTCTTCTCCTCTCTTACGCGCTCGATGTCCCGCCTAAGCCTCATCGCTTCTTCACTGGCGGCTTCCGCCTGCCTCCGCGCGCCCGCGCATTTCTCCGCCGCGTCTTGCGCCTCCACGACTGCGCGCACGTGGTCCTCCTGCAGCTGACCAACCACCTTCCGCCACTTGTCCGCCTCCTCCGCAATCTCCGACTCCACTCCCTTTAACAGCTCATCCCCTCCCGCTTCCCCCGCGTCCTCCTCCCCCCGTCTCGTTCCGCTATATGCCCTTCCCCGCACGTCTTCCCCAGCAAGTTTCCCCCTGGCTGCGCGGTCCATCGCATGAGCACCGCGGCCGCCGCTGGCGCCAGCAGAACCGCCGGCAACCTCCCTGCTAGCCGTCAGCGCGTCAAGCTGCAGGCGCAGTTTGCGGAGATTATTCCACTCCTCTCTCATTCCCGCCAAGACGGTCATAGCGCGGTCGCGCGCGCTTCGCGCGGATATTAACTCCCATTCTAACTCCTTGAGTTTCCGCAAGCCAACCAGATCAGACTCTAAACTGCTAACTCCCTCCACGGCAGTCGTTCCGCCAACCCCTCCCCCACCTCTACCTCCGCTTCCTCCTCCGCCTCCGCCTCTTCCCCCGCCGCCCCAACCCCCGGCGGCCTCCGCTTCCCCCTCCAGCTCCTCCACGTTCCCCGCGAGCATGCGGATCTTCAGGCGCAGTTCCGCCGCCGTCGCTTCCGCCGCCTCCTTCTGGCGGGACGCCGCCGCCAGCTGGTTCCACAGCTCGTCCGTCTCCGCCTGCGCCGCTTGTAGCTGAACCGATATGCGCTTATGGTCCTCCTGAAGCGCCAGGTGATTCTCTCTCAGGTCTTTAAGCTCCTGGTCTTGCTGGTAGAACATAACGGCTATGCGGTGCGACGCTTGCTTCGCCTCTTCGACCTCCTTCTCGAGTTCCGCCACATCCTTCCCCCTCCCCCGCCGCCGCCCCCCCTCTGCGTCTCCGCTGTCCCCCTCACCGGCTCTTCCCCCAGCTCCCTCGTCGCCTCCGCCTCCGCCGTCCCCGCCGCCACTCGTGCCGATTCGTTCCATGGCTTCTATCGCTCGTTCCATAGCCGCTTTGTTTAGCAACGCGTCATTCTGTAACGCGTCATTTTGTAGCGCGTTAGAAGACGCTTCAGGCGACTCGATGGTGCGATCCATAGCGTTTGAGTCGAGAGACCGATCCGCGTCAACCGCCCGGTCCGACTCAGGAGCTCCAAGCTCTCCTTGCCGGGATTCCATTGCTTCCATCTTCTTCTCCACGCGTCGCACCTCCTCCATCGCGGACCGCGCGGAGCTAACAGCGCCCGGTTCACAAGCCTCGCGCTGGCTTTGCGACGCCGCGTAAGACGCCGTAGCAACCGCTGACCCGCTGACGTAAGAAGACGAGCCGTTGTTGTTCAATAACTCCTTTCTGACGTCGGAAGATTCGCTGTCCGTCTCCGATGGGCGATCCCCGCCTGTGAACCTGCCGGCGTCTGACGGCCCGGTCCAGTTGCCGGTAAACTTACCGGCTTCCGGCAAGCCGTCACCCGCTCGCAGGCCCTCGCGACTCTCCACCTGCTGCTGCTGGTCCTCCTGCTTCGCGCCCCAGTCGTGCATCGTTTGGAAAGAACGGCCCCGGTTTTTTAGAGCCGCGCGCCAGTCATGCGCCCCAGCAGCCTGGGACGACCGACTCTGCATCTCGATTTCCAAGAATCGACTCTCCACCCGATTCTCCCGTTTCGCAG